GATACACCACTATCTACCTGCCTCCAGGTAGACTTTGTGCCACTAATCACATCATAATGAACTTGCTCTTCAAGCCACTTTTAAATCCACTTCACTGTTTGTTATGGATCCTGTTACTGAGAGAAGCCTTGGCCTGAACTAAGCTGCAAATGGGACCATATGCCAAATGGATTTTATTTAACAAGAAAATGAGAGTGAAAGAGAGAGGGAGAGTGAGTGAGAAGAAAGAGAGAGAGAGCAGCAGATAGTCACTATCCATAGATCCAGAGGTGTCCTTTTGGTCCTTCTTTACCCAGGAGTTCTTGGTGGTAGGAGTTCTGGGATCATTCAAAGCCTTTAATTATTTATAGATTTTTGTAAGCAAAGGAAGTAATGGTCATTGGTTACATAGTTCTCTTATTCCATTGGTTAAAGAATTCCCTCACTTGTAAAGCTAATTAGTCCCATGCTTAGTCTTTCTCTGGCTTGTGAGTTGGTGGCTGCAATCTCTGCCTGACAGAATTACCTTTTACCCAGCCTGAGCTGACTTCAGCATAGTTGGTAAATTGGCTTTCCTTGTGGCAAATAAATTCAGCCATTTTCACTGATACATTCTTATTCCCCAGCTTTGTTTACCTCCCCCTAGGCCTGAAATAACACTCAGACAATAGTACCACCTTTCTCTTGTCTCATGTATTCCTCACAGTGTCTTAATTCACAGCCCGTTTCAGGTATCCACAGAGGAATTTTTTGTGGGGCGAGGTCTGGTGGTTGCAGATGCCAGTTGTCCCATAACCTGCTGATCAGGATCTTTGTTTGACCACTGACAAGCATGTGAGCAGCAGCTTCTTTACAGACTTTGTCGCAGTGTGAATTTTTGTCTGGATTACCCAGGATGTGCTAGCTAGTGTCACCCTGTTCTTTCACATGTTGTACTATGACACAAAATAATTTACACACATTCATGCTAGATGTAAAAGAAGGAAAAGACAGGAAGTTTATTTCTGATCTTGTGATATATAGAGTTTTAAAAGTGACAATGGATTGGAGGATGGAATTGCTACCTCTCCAACCACACTGGTCAAACTGACAGTTTATCAATTTTCTCTTCCTACAAAGAAGAATATAAAACAATTATTATTTACATGAACATGTGTGAGAAACTCTAGTATAAATATGTAAACATTAGAAGGTATAGAAAACTTTTAGAAGAACTTTAAAACTTTTAAAATAACAGATCGACAAGCTAGATCTTGCAGGCCTAGTTAGGCCATTCTGTCACTCCATTCTGTGCTTATCTCATGGCAAAGTCTTTCTGTGGTAACTGTGTTGGAGACAGGAGACTGTGATCTTTAAGTCCTTATACTATTACTGACTGCCTTAAAAGTTTTTTGCTAAATAAAAGGCATCTCTAAGGATAGCTTGGTGTCTTGGTCGAGACCAGAGCTATCCAAAGCATCTTTCCTCACAGCCTCTGCCTGGTTATGGGGCTGGACACCAGGAGATGCTCTTGATGTCCTACCTTTCTTTTCTGTTCATCTGTGACCTGGAATTCCCCAGAGGACAGTGCACATCTCATAGTTATAATGTTGTCAGGATTGCAAAGAACAAAATATACTGAAAACACATCCAAAAAAGCAATACTACACAACATGAAGACAGTTACTTGTCAGATGATAGCTACAATAAATAATCTTACTCCCAGACTTTCATATCAGCAATCATTTTCTCTAAAAATGACAAAAAAACCCCACCTAAACTCTGGCTCTTCCTTCTTTTCCATCACAGTATCATAAACTGAGGCTGTTGTTGACATGTGATACAAACACGAGGTGTGTGTGTAGAATACTGGAAAAAACTTAACTTGGATCTCAGCTTCTGTAGACAGGCACAAGCCATGAAAGACTCTGTTGTGCTTCTCAGCAGCTGCTCCCTGAGCAGCTATTGTTTTGGATTTTCTTCAGAATTGTCTCATGAGAGAAACAAGATGATTCAACCTTTGGCAGGTAAGGGAGCTACAAACATACCCATTGGTTGACAAAAAAGCTCACACACTTCTGAGTAGGCATGAAGCTCCCTTGCCTGTAAAAGTGATACCTAAGTCTTGTCCTGGATTTCTGCTGTCTTCAACAGCTAAATGGTCTTCACTAACTGCACCGGTACTGAGAATTCTTCATTATCAGAATATGCTAAGATCCAGACCATGCCCCCAGGTGATGCTGACAAAAGCTGTCTGGAAAATACTGAAACAAGTAAAAGGCTGCTAATATAAAATAAGTTAATCCCAGTAGTAAAAAAATCAGCAAATCTTTGCTGCACCAAGCAGAAACAAAAGAGACATCACAGAATACAATGAATGAAAAGAAATAATTCCACCAAGCAAAATCTAGTGAAATGACTACAAAATATTAAAAACAACTCAAATTTTATTGTAAACATTTTAATACTATGGTATAAGAGATACAAGCTTGCTGATCAGGATAAATTTAACCAGAAAACATCTTACAAAGGACCTGCTCTTGCTCCAAGAGCTATTAACAGCATTTTACAGCAGACTTAAAGGAAAACCAAATTTGAGCCTTTAAACTGTTTCTGCATTTTTAAAAAAGTATGTATGTCAAAAAACCCCAATATATGACAAAAAATGTGCATCTCCACTCTATACCTCTTAGGTGTTTTCCTGTGGAGGATTGATCTCTCAGAGTTGGAGTAGTCTTCAAAATGTACATTTTTAATAATTTAAGAATAATATTTCTCTGGAATTAATAACAACTCATATAAAATAAAACAATATTGCTCAATAAACAGTTTAGGCCTAGAAGAAACGTAAAGTTAAACAATTAGAAATGTCCTGCAAAATTGTGAGTCCTACTAGCTTTAGAAAAATGTCTCTCTCAGTCATAAATTCTTCTTAAAAATTTACAAAAAAGGCCAATATTATACTGTGTTTTTACTTTTCTTTGTGGTCCTTTTTTCAAATAAAACCATGCTATTAAACATGATGTAACTTTTCTTATATAACTAGTTAGCTTCTATATTACATTTCTTATGTCTCAATATAATTTGAATATTTACTGAAAGATATTTCTTTACCAGACAACCTGGTTAAAAAAATTTAAATAACATTATTACTGGAATTTTAGACTATGTCACTTACAGTAATTTTTCATGACAATTTTTTTATTTTAGGTTTTTTGAAATCAAAATATAGAAGCAATTTTTTCTTAACAGGGAGTTGGTCCTTCCCTTTTCTGACATATGAGCAGTAATTTCAGAAGTTTAGAGAGGCAAACAAAAATTGCAGTTAGAATGGCAGTCTTGGCCTATATGAGAGAGCTGTTTAAATTTATGGATAATATTTTATCATACACACCCACACATCTGCATGTAGCCAAATAGGAGTCTATGACTTATACCCGCTAGTTTTTAAAATACTTGCACCAAATATTTTATTACAGCCTTAAAGCTTTTAAAACATTATGCTTAATGCCACTAATAATAGAGCCAGTCACTTTTAGGCAGAGACAAAGTAACTGAATGGATTATTCTTATTACAAAAATGTGTTTTTGTCAAAGCCACAAGTATGTGGTGATGCTGAATTTCAGTTCTTACATCTCTTTACATTTGAATATATTAAAAAAAGAAGACAGATTATTTAGTCTAATCATTGTAGTTATAGTTGTAATTTTAAATTCTACTTATATGTTCTTGAAAATACTTTTTTAATGCAGCCCATTAGAAGACTAAGTATTAGTAGTTGATTTACTGCTGATTTTCAGATTACGTAAAAGTTTCTGATCCTGATCCCTTCATAACTGTAAGAGGCTGGAGGTGCTGCAGTAAAGGAATATAAGATCATGCTTAATAAAATTCTGATTTCATTCCAACACATTTGGCAGATGGCACTTTCCAGAACACATTTCTCCTTGTTCTCTGCTAGAACAGGGGAGTACACCACCTACTGAAAAACCACAGGTCTCCCACACAAATTCTGATACTAGAGGGACAATATACATACACTCACATGCTTTTCTAGATGAAAGTACAGTGTACTTTGAAGATTTATGCCACTAGAAATAAAAACTTGCTTGTACCTCCCTGAAAAGTAAAGCTGTAAACTACTTTGTGCCATTCTTCAGAACCAAATCCCATATTAATTTATAGTATCTTTTACTATAATTTAATAGATGCTCTTTCACTTGAAAATACCGTGTAAAGCAGCAAGTCTGGAACGATTGTTGAACTGGCTGCAGTTTGGTACTATAACTCATGAATCCATATATAGAATAACTATAAAGTGCTTTAGAATAGTTTCATAAGAAAGGTGCAAATAAATACTGTGCCCTGTTATGTACCCTTCCATGAGACATAAAGTCCCAGAGAGCCCACATTTAAAAGTATCCTCAATTTTTACAGCGATTTAATAATGATACTGATTTCTTCCACTGCAGAATGCTTCTGTCTCCAGTATTTATTTGGGTCAGTGTTTCACAGCATCATAGCTGGCAGGCCTGCTGGTTGCCCTCCATTAGTCTTGCTAGATCCAAACACACTCATCTGAATAGGTAAAAAAGGTATGGTGCTACACTGTGAGTCTGCACAAAAATGGTCCTCTTATTGTGCAGAACTTGTGGTCGTTAGCTGATTCTTTTTTATTGCTCTCTGCTGAAAAGATGAACTGGCAGCACACTGCAGTGTAATTTTTCTTTTTGGTTAATAGGCTCAAAATATCACAGTGGAATGCTGACAGGTCTATGAGTTGTCAAAATTTTCCAGGATTTGGATCATGGCACTGAAATACCGCTGATGAATGTCTACATAATGCATGGTACAGGACTGCTCCTGCTCCCAAAAGATATGAGTGAAAATGGGAAGCTTCTTTATAGTTTTTATGTATGAGGAATTGAAGCACCAATGAGTGAGTGAAGTGTGTCAACACTCCCAAATGATTCTATAGATTACATTCTTCATAATACACCAATCCCCGCTTAAAACTAGGAGTACTTCTACAGAGTAATAATTTTACAAATTAGGGGTAAGTTCTTTTCCCATCAAAATCTCCCAAAGGCAAAACTCACACTGAATGAACTATGATGTGGATTTCACATTACATCAGTAACCAAACTCAAGTACTTTGTCACATATAGCAGAAGTATTGAACAGCTTCACAGCATGCTTGATGAAGTCTATTCCAATTCTGAATGATAAAAATGCAGTATCCAACATTTTACCTTTTTCCAATATTTTTCTATTCACAATTTTTTTGTTCACATGGCTGTCATTTTCCTTAACTGTTACTTCTACAGCCTAAAGAGGGAAAAAGAAATAACAAAGGAAACAGAAAACAATAAATCCTATTATCCAGTTGAGTGAATAAATGTAGATGATCACCATGTCCATATCAAACCGCCATCCACAGCTATCATCCTCGAAGTCCATATAATCCATCCTGTGAGCAGCATGTGGGAAATGCCTCCTTGTTACAGTAGTTGAGTGCCTTCGAAAACCTGCTGAAAAAACAACTAGGAGATAAAAATCTTTTTAAAAGGAACCAGATTGACTGGCAAAAAAAGTTAACACTCCTTCCTCCAGTTATCAAAAAGACAAATACAAGCAGGAAATCTCACACCTCACTGCTAAGTTTCATCACTTTGTGGAACAAGAAGCTATCTTTGGAATTGATTTTATAAGATTTAAAAAGTAACACTGTGTTCCTTAAAAAGTAATTGCGTTCCATGTCTAGAAAATAATGTTTGTTTGGATTTGGAATTCTCCACCATAATAAAGTAATGATATCTGCTTATGTTATCCAGATCTATGTACACCTCTCTTTTGGTGCCTTCTTTCACTGAGTTTCACTCAGTGATCTAGAAGTGAAAGGCTCCATATACTGTAATGAATCTCTTTAGTAAGTAGCTAAACTGGGTTCCCTAAGTCTACTCATCTGAATTCTTCAGTAATCAAAAATATTCACATTTGTACATACATACATAGTTCAACAGCTGATACACATTTGAATTCCTGTTTCTAGAATCTGTCATTCTTTCTTAAAAGTATCTTCTAAATAAATTGTGCTTGCTCTAATATGATGTTCATTATGTTTACTATAATGCATATCAGGTTAAAATTAAATTCTTAAATCACTGTTTGTATGCTGATAACACCTTAAAAATATATAGGCAGGTGAAAACAAGTCAAGTGGAAGTAAAAATCCTGTGTCTCCAAGATGGCCTAAATGTGGGGTCCTGCCAAAAAGTCTGTCCTCTTCATTGTTCCCCAGACTTCTCCATGTAGCAGTACCTGTAGAAGCATACCTCTTCCCTGTGTCAAGACATGAGGTTAGAGAAGAATCTGTGCAGCTGTGTCAGACAGTAGGCTGTGACACAAAAGAAAAAGCCTGGAAGCTGTGGTGCAAAGGCAGAAAATCTGTCCCATTCTGATAAAGGACAGTTGTACTCTGGATTTTTGATCTATTTTCATGTAATGAGCAATTTTTATGATGCATTCTGTATTCTTTAATAAATGACAACAAAAATAACCTTCTGTATCTCCAGATAGAGTGGAAGTAAACCATGTTGTTTAACCATCTGCAGACAAAAGCTGAGAGTTGTAGAGTCCCTCAAAAAGTGAACAGCAACATGGAGTAGGGGTTTGAACTATGAAACAGAAGACCTGAAGAAGCATCAAACACCGTATAATGTATTTTCTATTTCTTAAAAAGAATCCTATCATACATTACTTCAGTCCCCAAATAATTAATGCATGGGCATGCAAATGTGAAAAATTATATTTTATTTAACTTTCTTTCACATGTTGCTATACTCTGACCAAGAACTTCTACTCAAGTCACATGAATGTGCATGCACAGTGCTGGCAGAGTCTGGCAGACTGTTAGTGGGAACCTGTTGCTAGATAACAAAAACACTATTGTGTGTAAATCACACTTTTATATGCACCAAAGTGTGCAAACCAGAAAGGATTTTCAGTAAGCATCAGTAGGCACATCTGTTGCACTTTGCAGCCTTCTGTCGAAGAACTAGAAAAACACACACAAAAAAACCCAAACAAAAAACCCCCCAAAAATTTAAATATCCTCCCAATTTTATAAATTGACCTACTTTTTTTAAAACTTGAAAATAGAAGGTATCAGATAGAAAGGTTTACTCTAAAAATGTCCCTAAATGAATAATATGCAAGCCACAATAGCCATTTACATTATAAGTATTCATGTAAAATTAAATTATATATGAACAAGTGTTCTGAGGTTATCAGATATACCAAAGTATAATTTTGGCACAGTCTCTTCTTTCTGCAGTGGATAAGAGCTATTGAAAGACTGTGAGAAAAAATGCAAGTATAGACTGAGACCTTCCCATATGTGCCCTTGCAGCACCTGGCAGCTTAGTGTGCTAGACCTTTGGAAGCTGTTTTCAGAACAATGTGTTAAAACAGCATTGCATGTGTCCCTGCATGCTTTTGAACCAGATCTCACATTTACTCCTTTTACTGCACTTTGTGTCCCTTGGTGGAATAAATAAAGTGTTTTCCTTTCAGGTAAAACTAGAAACAGAAGATGAGCTCTAAGATCACAGAAATGTTCCAGTAATATGCTTCAACCACTAATGGGCATTTAGCCCTCGGGACTGCAAGTTGTCTCACATGCAAATGTGGACATTTGACCTCACAGCATAAATTTCTGTGCTGCATTATGGCTGATATAATTGCTAATGCAAGAATGCCTCTGAGAGATAGTGACTAATCTTTCCTACAACATCTTTATGCCATTCATAATTTTACAGACCTCTTGTATCTGTTTTCTCTAATATTCTTTCCAAACAAAAGAACTTTTGAATTTCCTTTGTATGGAAAAAGCTTCTAAACTTCAGACTATCCTTTCCACATTATGCTTCACCCTCCTTTATCTTTCTCTAAAATTATATGCAAAATTTGAGTTGTGGGATCACCACAAATCTAGACAATGACATAATATTTTGTTATGATTCCTGCTTACCTTTTTACTTTGACTGTGCATGAAATGTTTTCAGAAAAATAATCCCAGTATTATCCGATATAATATAAATTTCAGAATACATATATATTTCCAATATAATATAAATATATATCAATATAGTATAAATTTCAGAAAATTAATCCCAGTATTATCCAATATAAAATAAAAAAAAAGTCTTTTTTTAAATGGCAATAGCAAATTTACAGCACATCACAGTGAATATTATGCATAATGCCTCTGTGTACACCTGCTCCACCACCTGACTGTCCCTCATAGTGAAAGTGTTTTCCTTACTTGCAATCTGAACTTTTCATATGCCTTAATGTTCATCCTCTTGCCACACACCACAGTGAACAGGTGGTCTGTCCCCCTGGCGGTCTCCTTATAGGTATGATAAGGTTGACTGGAGATCCTCCCCAAAGCCTACCCTTCCCCAGACTGAAGAAGCCATTTCTCTCAGCCTCTTCTTCCAAGTCAGGTTCTCCAGGCCTCTGAGCATCCCAGCTGAACCTGGGTCGCTCTGCTAAACCTGTTCCAGTCTCCCCTGTACAAGGGAGGCAGGCAAAACTGCAGGATTTTAGATGTGGTGTTGCCTCCACATGGTGTGTTGAGCAGTAGGGGATAAAAGCTTCATACATCATACTCCTGTTCACAAAGTCCTAGATGCTGCTGGCCTTCTTTGCTGCCAGGGCACACTTCCAGCTCATGCACAGCTTGCTCTCCATTAGGATGCCCATGTGCTGAGTCTATCAATCTGTCCTTAACTTTGCTGTTCTCTGCAGGCCTGATGAAAATGTATTCTGTTACTTCCTCCAGGTCACTGATCAAAAGAACTATTAGCTGACAAGTTCATATTTACTATCATTACTGAAGTGAATAATTTAATATCACTATACATTTTACCAGGTGTATACGTGTCACTTTCTCAAATGACATATGAATATTCTGAACTACAGACACAGACCACTGTGTCATTCTGACAAGGTTTCAGTTTGACTTGCTACGTGGTCTTTTACACTGTATTTTCCATCTCCTACTTGGTTCTGTTTTCCTTTTTAGGTGCCTGGCAAAAGGGTCTTTGTCTGATGGAGCACCTGCATTTCTCCAACTTCTTGTTCTGTCTGAATAGCAGCCCCACCACTGAATCTACCAATTTGTTGTCACCTGCAGACTTGACAACAGCATGGAGGAAAAAAAAATTCAAAATTTCCAAGTATTCTATAATTTTTCAGGTATTCAGGTGTTTTTATGTTGCTTTCATGCTTTGACAAATGAGGTATCATCCCAAACTTTTTGCATAAATGCCAGCTTTCTCCCAAATGCACATCAAAAGGCATTATATTTTGGTTATGCTGATGTAATATCTACATTTCAGGATTTTTTAGTTAGGATGAGCTGTGAGACTTGTATTTGCAATAAAGAAGAATCATATATTGCCAGAAAGGTTTATGAGAGAACAGCACTTATCCTGTGTGAATGACTGCAGGCATGTCCCATTGACTCCTCATCTCGTGCCCCAAGCTCTACCTCAGTCTCAAGCTCTCCACTATAACTCAAGTTCACAAAGAATCCAGTACCTTCCCCAAACTAAGGCTATTCGATTCAGCCACCATCCTTCTCAGATCCAGTGATCCACTTCTTCCACATTAAGAGCTTGAACCACACCACCCTCTTGCCTCAGTATGTCAGCTCCACACACCTATTGTCTCAGAAATCCTTTTTTCTACAGAGCCATATCAAATTACAAACTCCTTCTCCAGGATGCCTATCAGAACATCCAACTTTCCTTGTTAAAACTTCTACTATCACCTTCCAAGGCCTTTTCCACAGCAAAATCATCTTTCCACACCTCCCTCACTATCCTGCTCTTATCTTCCTCTCAATTTCTCTCTGCTTCCTTTGCATACTCCTCTGCTCTTGCCCTTCTGATTTTACCTGTGGGCTCTCACTATCACAAGATAGCCTAAACATCTCTTCTTTTTCATCTCCAAAATCCAAGTCCTACTTTCTGATAGCTGTTGGGTTTTAGAAAACCTGGATGTAAAATGTATTTAAGGTGTAAAAATTTCCTTACCTGAAACCATTTTTACATTCACTATGTTGTCTGTCTTACCAGTTACAGACTTTTGTTGGGCTTTTGGTTTAAGTGCTGAATTCTATCACAGTCTCAGGGAGGCTAACTGTGTTTAAGCAGTAATTTGTGCATGCTTAAAATGTGATTTATTGAACTCACTGTGCCTATGATACAGATAGCCTCTGCACATGAACAAGTCAGTTGCATTCAGGTTAGTGAGGAACACACAGTAACTGCTTTATAAAGGTGTCAAAGAATTATATCTAAAAGAGTCTAGAAGAGTCTAGATAAGCAATCAGTTACTGTGAAAATCTGAAAATGCCATGTCCTGAAGCCTTTCATATGGAACACAAGACTTGATTCCATAAGGGACACTCCTTTCCATAAGGCAGAGTTGGGAACCACTGTTGCAGCCAGATGTCTGC